ATGCGTTGCATAGGCATGCAAGCTCCTCCCTAGAGTTTCCATAGACTCGTTTTGATTCGTTAACTGACACCTACAAATGTGGTTTAGTGATTTCATAATGAATTCCTCCACTTCCACTCACAACGTTTCTATGTTCAATTGCCCCCCTACGACAATTATCTTGTGAGTTCCATGATAGGGAGACACATGGGTCTGCCAACAGTATGATTTGCATATATCACTTATGTAAATTGGTTACTTCTAAGACGTGCACGACATTTGTTGCCAAAGTACATAAGAGATTCATTCCTCTCACATCATCCAACGTAGATATCAAAGTATCTGGATTGGTGAGTTCCTATGTTGGTAGAACAACCTCTGTATGACTTAATGCTCGAATGCTTGGCGAGTGCAACTCTTCTGGGCGGATCCCTCTAGCTTATTTCTAGATTAGCCTCTAAGTAAAACATATCCACATAATTTTGGGCTTATCTTGGTCATCTGAGAAATAGCGTCTGAGGTGCCATTTTGGTCCAGTGGTAATATTGGTCCAGTTGCTAAGCATATACCATTTTGGTTCAGTGGTAAAGTGATCCAATTGCTAAGCATATATAATATAACGTTTTGATCCAGTGGTAATATCACTAATTTTAAACATCAACACCCATCTGGGATATACATCATCTATGGCTTAGCATATACCACTTCCAAACCCAATAGTCAAGTGCATTAGTCTGTGCTAACTGCTAAGCCTTTGCACATGATCATAACAATATTATCAATGCTGCATGAGACAAAATCTTAACGGTGAAATGGTTTAGTAGAGATTTATTAATTCTGGGATACTTATCTCACTACTTAGCACTCTGTTTATGAAGGAAATTTTGGAAGGGACACCAAATTTGAGAGCATGAAAATTATAGGAATAAATGTTGTTTTACGAGGAAAAGTAATGAAAAAAATAGAAGAGTAAAAGTAAATTGAGAATTGTGATACATATGTTATTTTATTGATGAAGTTATTGTAAAATAATTTAGTTGTGTGTTGATAATTTTTTTCGGTAATTGTTGTTGTTTTCTATTAAGCTCCAACCTGGTCACAATCATGAGCAAGTTCCTAAAAAAAAAAAATACTTAAGATACAAGATATCTATGCTACAACAACTACTTATAACCACTGTCTCACAATTATAGCAAACTAGACAACAATCACTAATCAAAACAGTGTAGTACCTAACATATACACTCCTTGAACTTGAACCTACACAGCTCATTACCAAAATCTGAGCACCCAGAAACATAGTAATTAATATCCTATTTTAGCTGTAGCACCCGTGCTGTTAAATTTACTTTGACCGAAATATTGGTGGTCTTTGCTTTCATCGTCTCCATTGAACAACCCACAACTAGCATATGTTATATAGTTCCATGCCAGTAGTTTATTCTTGATAGTGATTTGGTCAAGGATAATGAGTCAGCATATATAAGAGTCGATTTTGAGGTAAAACATACTTTCCCCATAGAGATAGATACCAAAACATAGTTCTATGCGAGTAGTTTATCCTTGGTAGTGAATAGTGATTCTGTTACTTTTGATAATGTTTCTATTAATTATGTTAGAGTAGAATAATTAAAATAGTTTGTTAATATTACTTTTATTAATTACATGTCATGAATTTTTTTGTTTATTAAATTTAAATAAAAAATATCGCTAAAATCATCCAAAATCAACTTCTTACGGAAGATCATCACACTAAACATTGCATAGCGTTTTTTTTACTGGAATCTGTATAAAATTGCATAGCGTTAGAGGAAGTGAAAAACAAATACAACTAATTTCCTGCTATATATCTATTTAAAGGGGGCGAGTTGCGCATGAAGCAGGGATGCAAGATTTTAGTGACTGCCTCCTAGATTTCTCCTTAACCGATCTGGGATTCCATGGATACCCTTACACGTAGAACAACCGGAGAAGGGCGACAATTTACATTGAAGAACGGTTAGATAGATATGTCACAAATGATAAGTGGCGAGAGAGGTGCCCTTGTTCTAGAGTTCGACATTTGGATTGGGCAAACTCTGATCATCTCCCAATCCTTTGTCAAACCGCAGGTGAAGAAAACGAAGAAATAAGATGGGGCTGGTCCTATAAGTTTTATCCGTTTTGGAGAAAACATTTGGAGTGCGCACAGGTTGTATCAAATGCCTGGAACGAGAATACTACCGAAGGGGCGATAGGCAGGCTGGAGTAGTGTAGTAAGAGGTTAACAGAATGGAGCCGTAACACCTTTCCCAGTTTCCCGAAACATAGAGAGAAGGTGATGAGAGCACTCAGGGCTACTAAAAGGATGGAGAAGACAACTGTGGTTCTTGAGCAACGACACCAGCTTGAGGCAGAATTAGAAAAATCAATTTGGATGAAAAGGATTATTGGAAACAAAGATCCAGAGCGGATTGACTGCGAGATGGGGATCAAAATACAACTTTTTCCATCGGAAGGCCACGACGAGAAGAACTAGGAATTTTATAAAAAAGCTACGAGGAGAATTTTCATGGGACAAGAGGAGGTGACGGCTGTTTAACTAGCTACTATGTTAATTTGTTTTAGGCAGGAGAGAGACCCAACGAAACCCCGGTGCTAGACTCTATATCATGCCCAGTTATGGAAGTTGATAACCAGATGTTGTTGCGTCTGTTTGCTAGAGCGGAGGTGGAGCTGGCGCTGCGGCCAATGTAGTCAAAATCGCGCTTTAAAACTTAAGAACTTACGGTTTTACGTTTCTAGGTCACCAAAACGTTTTCATTTCTATGTAAAAACTTTAGTGTACAAAATCAGACTAAATTGCGGTTTCAAACTTAAAAACTTACGCTTTTATGCTTCTAGTTCACTAAAGCGCTTTACGTTTTTACGCTTTTACTTCACTGAATGTGTATTCTTTTCATGAAATTAATTATAAAAAGTATATTTTAAAAATAAATCACCGAAAATTTGATACGTTTAAGATTAAAAGATGCATACCAGATACTTTGATGCATTATGAACTTCAACAAAGTAATCTAATTCATCGTCTAGGCTTTTCTCAAATTCATTAGCATGGAGGGGAATGTGGCTTCTTGATAAGATTTATGTTTAGGAACTTATTATTAAGAGACTATAAGTTGCTCTACTTTAGACATGAATTGCAAGTATTTATTAACTTATCTAAATTTTGTGCACTAATATTTTTCATAGTATATGTCGTACTTAACATATTTTTAGTTATTTTACACTAAGCGTAAAAAACTTACGCTTTAATTCTACGCTTTACGATTTTACCCTTTTCGCTTATAGGTAGAATCGCGCTTTTAACTGCATTAGCTGCGGCAAATGGAAAAAAGAAAAGCCCCAGGCAAACAATTGGGGAGGAGGTAGTGAAGTTGGTGTTGAGTATACTTGAACGTGGGGAGATGTTGGCAGAGTTAAATTACACCCTGATTGCGTTGATACCCATGGTGAAAAAACCAACCATGGCAAAGGAATATCACCTGATCACCTGTGCAACGTGCTATATAAACTGGTGGTGAAAGTACTTGCTAACAGGCTCAAAGGCATCCTAGATAAATTCATCTTACTAGCACAAAGTGCGTTTGTCCAAGGTCGGTTCATAACGGACAACGTGATGGCAACTTTCGAGTGTTTCCACTCGATGAGTAAGAGATCAACGAGGGTGAAAGGATACATGGCAGCGAAAATCGACATGGCCAAGGCGTACGACCGTGTTGAATGGCACTTCCTGGCTAATGTGATGCGATAGATGAGTTTCCACGAGGACTGGGTCGGTCGGATGATGATGTGTGTACAAACTGTGTCCTATTTCGTATTGGTGAATGGGCACATATCTTTCTTTCCAAGACGGGGTATTATACAAGGGGGTCCACTTTCACCGTACCTGTTCCTCTATGCACAGAGGGGTTGTTAGCGTATACTACGAAAGTAGTACGTGATGGGTTGCTCCATGGATTTCGTTAGGCACCGAGAGGACCAGAGATATCTCATTTGTTCTTTGCGGATGATAACATATTTTTTATCCGGGCCACGAGAGAAGAAGGGATGGAACTGAAGAAACTGCCATATTGATGGTAAATAAAAAAAATATCATTTTGGGAATTTACCCGAAAAAGGTTTGGCTAATAAATTGTCACTACCTTTAAAAAATAAAAATTTAAAACAGAGATTCGGATCCATGGGCCTTGGTGAACTGTATAGGTACATAGGCCAAGCCCATAAAAAAACAAAACAGAGGAAAACTAGGGAAAAAAGAGAGACAAGAGGGCAACACGACCTATTCCAAAATGCGGGAGAGAGGTGGTCGGTATCCATTAGTTCCGGCAGTCGTCGTCGTGTCTCCCTTCCGATCCCTTCTTCATTTCTTCTTTCAAGTCTGCAAAACCTCTGCAACTGGTACATAACCTTCCTGTAATTTCGATCTATCTACTACAGTTGACCTAAGTCCAGTTCTTTCAAATTGGTATCTTTACCTATGTTTTCGTAGTATAATTATGATGAGAATGGTGGAAGGAAGCTTTGATACTCTATTAGTGCTAGAGATAGCTAACCATAAAATCTGGGTTTTGTAGTATAATAATGGGAAGACTAGACTCCTACTATTTCCCGAAGCTGCGAAATTCTACGCCTCCTTCAGTCCTTCCCCCCAAACCCTAACTCGCCATTGTCGGTTTCTATCTCCTTCCCTTCTCCCCTCCAATTCCAAAATTTAGCAAGAAGCGGGAGATAACCAAAAAACAACTCTCTCTGAATTCTCATCTTCCGCTGTAGCGACCGCCTTCAACAAAAAACTCATGTAAGTCTCTCTCTCTCTCTCTGGTCTGCAATGTGTATTAGTCTACTTGCTAGTCCTAGAGTGTCTGAAATTTGCAAAGTTTTGAGCTTCAGTCGTCACCAAATATGTTCTTTCTTCCACTATAGGTGCTCTTCTACGAAGATGTGGAAGTGGAACCCTGCCTCCTCAAATAGTATTGATGGCAATCCGCTGGGAGAAAACAAGAGACAAAAAACAAACACATTTGAATATGCCACTCCACCACTGGGATTGTGCTGCTTCTGCTTCCGACTCTGCATATTCTAGTTCCCAACCCCTGCCATGGGGAGAGTATGAGGTGTTTCTGAATTTCAGAGGCTCAGACACTCGTTATCATATCACTGATATCCTCTACCATTTTCTTGTTAATTTGAGAATTCAACTTTCAAGGACGAGGATGATCTTCAGAAAGGGGAAGGGATATGGCCCAGTCTCGTCATCGCCATCGAGCAATCCAAGATCTATATTCTCATTTTCTCCGAGAATTATGCTTATAGCAAATGGTGCCTCAAAGAGCTTGCTGCAATTGCTTAGCCCCCAGAGAGGAATTAGGGTTGCATCATTCTCCCTATTTTCTATATGGTGGATCCCAAAGACGTTCGACATCAAAGTGGGCCTTATTGGAATGCATTTGAAGATCACATGAAGATTTTTGACGAAAAGACCGTACAAGTTTGGAGAGATGCTTTGAAAAAGGTTGGAGCTATGAAGGGATGGCATGTTACAAGCAATGACGAGTAAGTAACCTCACCCTCACCCTTGCCCTTGCCCTTTATTTCATCGTTTACCAAATTACTCATTATCGGATTTGTTATGAAATTAACGTCTTTTCTCCTGGTTGATATAATCGAACATCTTATTTTCCAGGCAGGGTGAGATAACAGATCTTGTTCTGGCGATGTGTGGTCACATCTAAGTAAGATCAGTAATGCGTTAGAGACTGATATGCTGATCGAAATTGATGGTCACATTGAAGCAGTAGAAGAAAGGATGACCATGGAATCTGGAGGTGTGTCAATTGTTGGTATTCATGGTATTGGCGGTATAGGTAAGACCACTATTGCCAAGGCTGTCTATAACAATTATCTTCTCAATTTGATCGTTGTTGCTTTGTGTAAAACGTACGAGAAATGCTACTTCAGAAGGATGGTGTTATCAGTTTGAAAAAGAAGTTAATCTCGGACATTTTGAGGAGGCGGAATTCTGTTGAATCCATTGCCAATTCTAGTGAAGGTATACAAATTATAAGATTTTGGATTTCGCGTTTCAAATGTCTTGTGGTTCTGGATGATGTGGATGAGATGTTTGAATTTGAAGAGATGTTGGGAAATATCAGAAATTTTGTTTCGGGAAGTAGATTTGTCATGACTTCCAGAAACGTAAAAGTCTTGAGTATTTCGGCTGAAGAATGCAAGTTGTATAGAGTACTAGAAATGAGTCATGGCCACTCACTCCAACTCTTCTGCAAGCATGCTTTCAAATTGGATTCTCCCCCATCAAGTTATGAGACTTTGTCGAAGGATATTGTTGATGTTGCAACAGGACTTCCATTGACACTTAAAGTCGTAGGATCACTTTTATTTCAAGAGGGCGAAGCGATTTGGATAGAAAAACTGAGGCAGTTAAAAGAGATTTCAGAGGAGAAGGTTGTGGAAAGGTTGACGATAAGCTACGGTGTGGAGTAGATTTTCTTGGATATCGCTTGTTTCTTCATTGGAGAGGAAAAAGAGCTGCCTTCTTATATGTGGAGTGATTGTGGTTTTTTTCTTCTTCTGATGACTAATATCAATATTCTTAAGCAGAGGTCTATGATTGAGATTGTGTTTGATACTAAAAAACAAAAAGGGTTCTGAATGTATGATCAACTCAGAGATATGGGTATGGAAATTGTATGTCAAGGAAACAAAAGACATCCATGGAACAGAAGTAGGATATGGTCAGAGGAGAAAGCTGTTGAAATGTTATATAACAAAAAGGTAAATTCCCTAATCTCGCTTGTTGTCCTTTTAGATTTTTGTAATATATATATCTAATAGCCACAAGCGTTCAAAAGTCCATGGGTAAACACCCAGACCTAGTTTATCTGTGTATATAGTACTCCTAGGATTATAGTTGCAAACTAAATATCTTGTACTGATGATCATTTTAGCTTGTAAAATCTGGTGGGTTCCAACTTGAATCATTAGTCTAAAAATTTAGGAATTAAAACAAAAGGAAACAAAAACTTTAATATTTAATAATCATAAAATGAACTCTTGGCTGAATAGATGATAGGACAACATGTTTTAGGTATATGCAAAAACAACTAATACAATCATGGTCAATCTTGGTGGCAACTAATTTTGCTTTCTTTACTTTTCATTATTGGATTGTTGATTTCATTTTTTTTTAGCGAACAAACACAATCGAAGGCATTAGAATGAACCCATCATCTGATGATGGTGTTGTGGACGAGCTTGAGATTGTGGCAAACCTTGAGAGCGAATGCTTTATGAATTTATCAGAGCTGAGATACCTTGACGTACAAGCTAAGATGCTCCCTAGCGACTTCACTGATTATCTTCCAAACTTGAGATGGCTTCGATGGAAGTCTGGAAATTCTGAGTGCTTGCCTAAGTTTTGTGTGGAAAATATGGTGATTCTCGAACTCTTAACTCCTGTAAAGGATGATTGGGGAGGTTTGAGACATCTCGTGAAGGTATGGGCTATCGTTTAATAACAAATCACAAATGGTACTTGTTGAGTTTCTTGATTAATAGTTACCGACTGACTATCGTACATGCTCTTGTTTCCCCCTATTTTTGTTAAATGTCTTCATGAAGATGGTGAGCAAGCTCAAAGTTTTGAAACTTGTGGGTAAGTTCTTGATAGAATATCCTGACTTTCCACGTTCCAGGAGTTTAGAAATATTGTATCTCCAGGATTTCGGGCTTCGATTGTCCCATAAGGATCTAGATATTGGGAACTTGAGGAACCTAAAAGAGCTGCATCTATTGTATTGTGAGGTAGGAGTGATAAGGGGTGGAACCATTGGGATGGTGAAGGGTCTTCAAGAGCTCAATATCACCAATTTAAGGTTTGAGAGGAGTCTGAGAGCAGTACTTATAGGGGATTTGAAGTTTCTTGAAATCTTAAGAGTAGACGTAATAACTGATGTGGGACTGAGATCGGTTTACGAGAATTTGTTACTAGATACTAAGCTTCCTAGAAGTTTGAAGGAGTTAGAGACCACATCTCCAGTTGCTAACCTTGTAGAACTGGTGGAGCTGGAGAAACTAATGGTTCGATATTTCGAGTATGGGTTTGAGATCCCTCCAGCAGACAGTAGTGATATGCGGTGGAGGTTATCTAAATCGAAGTCTCTAACACTAGAAGAAACAAAGTTGACTACCCCACCTAATACTTCTTGTCGTCGTTCCTTGCTGAATGTTGCTTCCATCGTTACTGACCACCCTCCACATTAAGCTTTGTCCAGAATTTCAGTGGCTTCCAAATCTTGGGAATCTGGAACACTTGGCTCACTTGTACATCTCAGGCTGTCCCTTGCTTAAAGAGATCCCTGGTCTTGGAGGGTTGAAATCTTTGGAAACTCTGGGTATAAGTGATCTGAAAGTTGTATGTAATCTGGATGGTCTTGGTAATCTCTATACTTTGACATCCTTAACGCTGAAAGACTGTGATGCATTGCGAAGACTACCCAACATGGCGTCTTTGAAGCTAGGGGTGGGCAAACAGTTCGGTAAACCTGAAACGAACAGAAACCAAATAAAACCGAGCCGAAACCGAAATAATGCTATTCGGTTTGGAATTCAGAATGAAAATATGGATATTTCGGAAATCAGGGTACTTTCAACCGAACCGAATTTCCGAATTTCCGACTGAAAAACAGAAATACTATAATTACAACCTCCAAATGGTGGATTTTTATGTTTGTAGTTGTTTTTAGACTTAAATATTTGAAATATTTTATGACTTATGTGTTGAAAAGTTTGATTTTATCATTGATGATGCATATAATTGCATATTTATTGGTTAAATTAGGGGTGAAAAATAATTCAAAAGTGAGAAGATACAAGTAGCCTCACAAATTCGGTTTTGTGTGAAAAACCGAACCAAACCGAATTATGATTTGGTTTAAACCGATCGAACCAAATTATAATTCGGTTCAATTCGGTTTGAGGTTTGTGAGGATTTGGGGACTCGGTATTCATAATTTCGGTTCGATCGAAACTGAACCGACCGAATGGCCACCCCTATTTGAAGCAATTGAAAACGTTATCTTCCACGTATGCACCAAAATTGCAGGAGATTGAGGGCCTTGCTGGTTTGAATCCTTGGAACAGTTAAATCTGTATGATTGCTCATCTTTGAAAAGACTTGCTGCGATGAGCTAGCCGGTTTGAAGCAATTGGAAAGGGTAGAGATCAAAGGTCTCTCGCCGATAAGCTTCAATGTTATTTATGCTCTAATGAAACTAGAGCCGAATGTAAAGATAATTGTTGCGGTGCAGCCGCCACCACGTTCAGTATCACCGTTTTAGTCTGCCATATGGTCAGTATTAAAGTTCATTGCCATAATTAGTTTTATTCTTATTACTATTACTATTACTATTATTAATATTATTCAATATAGTTGGAATATCATGACAGGGAACTATACTTTGGTACCAAGCTATCAAAAACAGAAATATAATATCATCGTTGGCCTCCTCCTTCTGGTGTTTTATTTTTGAATGTAATGTAACTTTGGTTTAATATGTTGTTTAATAGGAAAGTATAAAGGTTCATTTTTGTTCTGTAGAATTAATTTTGATAACAGTAAAATAGCCGCTCTTTGTAATGAATAAGATACATGATCACATCAATGGTATCATAGTTTGGGTGCTATGTTGAGTTCAAGGCTTCACTCTTTGAAGACTTTGGAGCTAAGCTTCGTCCACAAATGGAAGGGAATGTCGTCGTCCTAACTGAATGAGCGAAACAGAGGACTGCGGAATCAGCAAGAAGTGAGAGGAGAAACTGCCCGACCAAATTTGGTCTAGAAGCCATTGTTACTGGGAAGGGTTTCACTGACAAACGAGAGGACAATCTTTTTGGCGGGAAAATGAAGAGTAAGGAAATATACTGTTAGAAGTTAGAACTTAGGAGTGGACTTGGAAACAGAGGGCAGAAACAGGGGAACGCTATTCTTACTCGAGGGGTTTCCCACTATGACCAATGCTTTCTTCGTCTTTGTCGGTCATCATACCTGAACTTATTACTACATAAATATACAAATTTCCACAACTGTTACCGACTAGATTTATATATTTATATGGTGACTTCTACGGTGCCCAGGGCAAAATCCAGGTATGGGTACCTTGGCCGATCTTAACCATTCGTTTTCAATCTCCACGGCTCACGTTTGTTAAACCTAACTGCGCCACTAAATAACTAAACAAATTACAAAAAGCCTCCTCCGCGTTAAGTTTGTTTTCATCCTAGTCCAACTAACTGCCCCGATTAAATTAAATGGATTAAGAATGCAAACCCAATTGGGTAGACCCACTGCCGCCCAAACCAATTTCCAGTCTCCCTAACCAATTACACGATCCCTCTCTCGTCTTGGAGGGATGCCCCTTCACAGTTCCAAAAGAAGCTCCCCATCCAATTTGAACTCCCTTTTTTTAATCATCTTTTTGAATCCCAATTACTTGCATCCACATTCGACGTAGATTGAATTTCCCAAATTTTTTTTGTCTTGTTTCTTCTTCGCCATTGTATTTCCTCTCGCCTATCTCTTTCTAACACGATTACGGCGACTGATAGACCGTCATTTACACATGTTTTTACCCTCATACTAACACCGTTTGAGGTGTTGATTCTCGTGTTTTAGGCCGATTTCACGCTAGGTTGTGCTTGTTTGTGTTATTTCAGGTCCTAGTACGTGAATGAAGGCTTAGGAGCGAGTCTGGGGTCGATTGGACGAAGAACGGACGAAGGGCGAGCTTTTGGAGGAGTGCACGGCCAGACCAGGGGGCTGCACGGCCGTGCACTAGTGCCATTTGGCTGTGCGCCTCACGACGAGAGCTTGCACGGGCACATTCCAGGCTTGCACGGCCGTGCGCCTGGCCGTGCAAGAAGGCTGAGTTTAATAAATAAAACGGTGCGTTTGATGTTGCACGGCCAGAATGGGGTGGTGCACGGCCGTGCACCTGCCCGTGCACCTGGGGAAATCCGGTTTTAGTGCCTAATCCGAGCCAAAAGAAAAGGAAATCGTGTTTTGAGAGCAAAAACAGAGCCCTAGAGAGAGAAAGTGCGAAGAACTCATCCTAGAAGCCGTCTTGGAGCTGGATTTCATCAAATCGAGCCTGGAGATCGTCATAGGAGTGAACATCATCGTCCCGGAGCAGATTATCCTCATCGTTATGAGTATGACTAATCCGATTCTTGTTTTCTCTTCTCTCTCTATGGAGTAGAACCCTTCTCTCACTTGGGTATGAAGAACCCTAGTTCCTGATGTTAGGGTTTTGATTGTAATGTCTTGGGAATGATATTATTGTTTGATTTTAATCGAATGACGCATGTTTCATGAATTGATTTGAGTCTGATCAGCTTGTTTCAATTTCTGCTTCAACCTGAGATAGATAGAATCTGATTAGGTTGTTAGAGCCTCTTCATTCGATAGTAGGAGATTGGCTATACGAGAGTTAGCCAGTTTACTGCTTTGTACTGGTGTTCTTGGCGCCAGTAGTGGAGTTCTGTGTTCATAGCCTCAGCTTTCTATCCCGGTGAAGACTAGTCGTCTGCCGGGTAGTTAGACTGAGAGGGCTTGGTCAGCTTAAGAGATTCCAAGCTACTGTCGGATCTTCCGCAGTCTAATCAACAGTAAATCAACCCAGGGAATTACAATTGAACCTAACTAAGGGGCTAGGGGGACTCAATCCCGAGTGACTCTTAACTGCTTTTGAAAACCGAACCATTTCCTGCTTTCTTACTGCTTTTGCTTAAACAACAATCATTCGAACTAAGTTGCTAGATAATAGAGAATCACGGAGTAAGCAGTAGATCTAGACCCCGGGTTGATAATTAAACTTGCCTGTTACTGCATTCCCGGACTGCGATTGCACTTGGTCGCAGTTTGGTGTTGTGTTTTGGCGTGTCAAGTTTTTGGCGCCGTTGCCGGGGAACCCTCTAGGTTATTGGAGAAACGTGATAATTTGTTACTCTAGTTTTTTATTTTCTGCATTTTCTTTCTTCCACCTGTGTGCCTTCACGGGTTGTTTCTTCTGAGTGTGTGCAGGTAGTGCATGACCCGTAGCCAGTCGGGAGATCTACTACCACTTGACCAGGAGCTTGAACGAACCTGCAGGAACTCCAAGCGGGTTCTAAAGGCGCGACTGGCTGCGGAGAAGGCGCTGTCACAGCTACAGATCGGAGAAGAAGAAGAAGGCGAGATGGGTGATCCGCAGAACCATGCTGTGATCCCCGAGGAGCAAACCATGGGGTCCTACTGGGCCGCTAGGGCTGCGGACATGAGGTCACCTATTCAACACCCTCAGGTCCCAGCCAACAACTTTGAGGTGAGCACCTCCGTGATCACCATGCTGCGCGGTTCAGTAGTGTTCCGTGGTAAGGAGGGAGAGTGCCCTCGATCACATCTCAGGCGATTCCACGAGCTCATCGATGGAATCAAGATCAATGGGGTACCAGCAAATGCCATCCAGCTGAGGTACTTCCCATTCACTCTGGAGGGGCAGGCCAAGGAGTGGCTAGACACTCGACCTCCGGGCTCCATCACCATGTTCGCCAACCTGGCGGACAAGTTCCTCACCCGCTACCATCCTCCATCCAAGACAGCTGATCTCCAGAAGCAGATTACACATTTTGCTCAGGATGAGGATGAGACCATCAGGGATGCATGGGAGAGATACAACAGCCTTTTCCTCAGGTGCCCCAATCATGGTTTCAACGATGCATTCAAGGTGGGCACCTTCTATCACGCTCTCTTCCCGGAGGACAAGCAGCTGATCGATTCGGTTTGTGGCGGGAACATGCTGACCAAAACCCCGCCACAGCTGAATCAACTCTTTGAAGAGATGGTGGAGAATGGTTATGATTGGGGCACTGCCAGGAGATCGAGGAGAGCACCAGGCCGGGGTGTGCATGTTGTGGGCACCCAGTCATCTGATTTGGTGCAGGTAGTATCGAAGCTGGTCTCAGCTATCGATCGTTCCGGGATGATTCCAGGGACCGGACAGCAGCAGGCGATGCTCTGCCAGTGGTGCGAGAGCACCCATCATATGGTGGAAGACTGCCAGGCGATGAAGGAATCGACCACACCCCAGGAGCAGGTGAACTTCATCAACAATGTCAGGCGCAATGACCCCTACAGCAACACGTACAATGAGGGGTGGCGCCAGCATCCTAACTTCTCCTGGGCTGGGCCAAATCCCAGACCACCAGCTCCACAGGGACCACCGGGC